CTAAATTTAGTACTGACACATACTAAAAATAGTATCCTTAGTGCAGAATGTGTCTAGGAAGCACAAGAAAGATTTCAATTGTCCCCAGTTGAATAAAGAAATCCTTCTGTAAATGGGTATAGGCTGTCTAAGACCATCTGTCAAGGGTCTTTGATAGAGAAGTTCCTTATGGATTTTGACTGCACAGAGTAGATCATCTGCTAAGCTTCAACTATACCTCAGTTCAGCATCTGACTTCAGCAATTCACCCATTTCTGTCTGTTTACTCTGTTAAATATTTTGGGTTGAACCCATATTAAATTATTGCAGATAAAAACAAACCAAATTTGATAATTAATTACCTTGTGTTGGCAAATACATCACATAACAAAAAATTAGCTGGCTTCAATTACCTCTTAAGAGATCTGCTGCGGTAATTGAGTTGGGAGATGTTTGAAGTCAAATTTCAGTTCACGTCGAAAGTTTTTTTTTCAACCGAAATATAAAAATAGTTTGGCAAATTATATATTTAGTTTGAATGATATTAGAAAAAAATTCTCAAGTGTTATGATATGGGCAGTTAAGTTCTGTATTCTTAATTGCTTAGAAAATATTGGCAAATTGACTTGATTCATCAAGTTTTCATTCCATTCTGCAAGGGAAAAAAATGCAAATTGGTTGGAAAGGGAAGTTGGCTAGATAAGTGTAATTTACGTGAACACAGATGTTTCAAATCAAGGAGAAGATAACTGTAAAAAGATTTTCAGATAAGACCTGTATCTTTTACAGCCTGTATGGATTAGCTACAGTATAAATACAGGAGATTTGTCGAGATTTTCCTATCAAAATTGCAGACGTACACATCATATAAAAATGGCGTCAGTCTTATTGTACCAAACCAACCATGCAGTAGGGTATATATACACATATAAATATGATAAATTCTGTATGTTTGGCATCCGCTGGTGGTCTTAATGAATAAAATTTGTTGGCAGATAAGATGTAGAATGAATGAATGTAGATTATGATATAATGATTTCTTTAATCTCTTCATTCCCAGGTAATGTTAGGTGTATGTCACTCTAACATTTCTCTATCAGAAAAATACAGTTCCTTTTGGTTCAAGATTATTAAAGGGTTTTTTTGATAGACTTCTGATCTGAATTGGTGCATTATATATGAATAGACAGACCTTGACCATTCAAATTGTAACAAAATGAAACCAGATGTGCTAAGAAAATCCCTTTACAATGCCTTTAAGGACTTGCTATAGCAAGCTATAAACAGAGAATATCTCAAGGCAATGAAGTTGATATATTATGAAAATGCTACATCTGCACGGACAGTATATCTTGGTATTGTGAAAATGCTACATCAGATCATCTGCACTGCCAGTATATCTTGGTATTGTGAAAATGTTTCATGAGATCATCTGTACTGACAGTAGATCTTGGTATTATGAAAATGCTTGATGAGATCATCTGCACTGACAGTATATCTTGGTATTGTGAAAATGCTACACAAGATCATCTGCACTTCCAGCTAGTATATCTAAGTATTGTGAAAATGTTACATGAGATCATCTGCACTGACAGTAGATCTTGGTATTATGAAAATGCTACATGAGATCATCTGCACTGACAGTATATCTTGGTATTGTGCAAATGCTACACGAGATCATCTGCACTTCCAGTTAGTATATCTTAGTATTGTGAAAATGTTACATGAGATCATCTGCACTGCCAGTATATCTTGGTATCAGGAAGATGACTCAGATGATAAAAAAAGGAGATATATTAATCTAAATGTAGTTATAGTGAAACAATTACTGTGGTGAATAAGGCAATTGTTCAAGTTCAGATAACTTATCTTAACTTTCAAAACATTTTATTTGATTTACGACACAAAAAATACATCCGTTTTACATTTTCAAATTAAAGTCTGAAGATTAAAAAACCTGCATTTTTATGTTGTTTCTGGTTGAGATAATTTATCAATTTAGCAGAAGTCAAAAGTATGGTAACGTTTAGAAGATAAAGTAAAAGACAGAAAAAGAGTTTTTGTATTCAGTTCTGTGTGAAATTGAAAATGACAATATTTTGAATAAAAGACAATGATTAAATCTTGAAATTAGGCTTCAATCGGTCCTTGGATAGAAACTTCAACTATAACACTTTTGACCATCTTTGTTCTGATTAAAGTCGACAGCATACCCTTTTTGCTTACTTAATCTTTCAGTCAAAATGTCTTGTTTTGACACTTCAAATCCAAAAAGCAGTATATGCATTAGACTATAAAAGACTACCTATTGCATTTCACACAATGGTTTATATTTACATGGTGTTTTCTCAGGAGTCAATTTGCCTGAAAGTTGTTGTCACTTATTGACGTGATTATCTGTACTGACTACATACAGTTTTGTTATGAAAGGAGGCTTGACTTAAACTCCAATCACTTTCCATTAATGAAATTCCATGCATTTATGTTCTTGTCAGGAATTCTCAAGAGGACCTTTACTATCTTGATAGGAATATTAAAATGGTTTTTACTAACAAATCAACCTAGATTATAGACTTGGTCCTTTCCATTTGCTTTCTTCTAAGGTGATATCCATTGTTCCATATCTTTTGTTAATTGTTAACATTATGCCATATTTTTTGTTTATGGTTAACATTATGCCATATCTTTTGTTTATGGTTAACATTAAGCCATATCTTTTGTTTATGGTTAACATTATGCCATATCTTTTGTTTATTGTTAACATTATGCCATATGCCATATCTTGCGTTTATGGTTAACATTATGCCATATTTTTTGTTTATGGTTAACATTATGCCATATCTTTTGTTTATGGTTAACATTAAGCCATATCTTTTGTTTATGGTTAACATTATGCCATATCTTTTGTTTATGGTTAACATTATGCCATATCTTTTGTTTATTGTTAACATTATGCCATATGCCATATCTTGCGTTTATGGTTAACATTATGCCATATCTTTTGTTTATGGTTAACATTATGCCATATCTTTTGTTTATGGTTAACATTATGCCACATCTTTTGTTTGTGGTAATATTTTTCAAACAAGTTGTCGTGATGAGGATATTACCCAGGCAGCTTGGTGGCAACGGTGTGACTATAGTTATTATTTGGTCGTCCAGAGCTTTGTGAAAAATGTATTTCAACCTTCCGGTTGCTTACCATCAAGCAAAAATCATAAATTGTGGCATGCAACTGAGACGTGGTGAATTTGAAATAAGAAGCCATAACTTCAATCTAATCTTTTCAATGGTTTAAATTATGGGAAAATATTATGAACACCTGTATTTTCTATTTATTGTTAAAAATTTCTTAACAACATATCGGATGTAATAAAAACCATTCTTTATTGATATCCAGTGGAGATGACAAAGTTGGGTAACTCTTACCACTTGTTGAACAGACGGACACCAACATGTTGCCAAAATAACTGCCAAAAACATATTGCCAGATTACCACCTACTCAACACATGGTACAAGGATGCTCTCTTTGTGATCTGCAAAATCTGGCACCTATGATACAATCTGGTTTGCATAATTAAGATGCTAATAGGATAGTATATCTAGCATATTGTCTGCGTTCTTGGCAAGGATCTAAAATTTTCACTTGAAAAATTCTCACAGATACAGATACATGTATCTTTCAAAATGTGGTCTCTTTCAAATCAAACACAGACGTAATTAGGATGTGATTGAAACACACATATTTCATTTTCTTTGATTTCTGCCTAAACAAATATGGTCGCCCTTTTTATAGTTTTTTTAAGAGGAAACATTTGTATAAGATGTTCATACGGTATGCTTCGATGAGTAAATTACACGGGAAAGACATGGGTGAACTGGACTACACCCTACTGTTACTATTGAGAAAGAAATTAACCATGAATTGACAATAGTTTGTACAGAAAATAAATGGTGTATGAACAAAAGAACATCAACCATAAGTAGGTTTTAAAATCACTGACTATTTCAGATAATGGGAATTCATAATTTTTTTACTGCCTATTATACCAGCAAGATATGTATACATCTACAAAAAAACAACACATTTATTGCCTCTTGTTTACCTAAAATTGCCCAGAATAAATGAATTGTGACTAAAAATCGCCTTGATATAGTAACCCTTATTCTTCGTGTTTATGATCAACAAACAATTTAATAGTTTTTGAATATATAACAAGGCAAAATTATATTCAGAAAAAATTTGTCTTTAAGCTAACACAGCACCGTTTATTTTAATCAAGTAAAGTAACTCAGAGTCTATTTCAGTTATAAAAAATATCATACATTTTGTGATTCATGAAAATCCATTTGACTTATTACTCTTCTTTTGTGAGGAAGAAAGGTTGCCAGTGATAATGGCAGGCCAAATTGCACCCTTGAGTTCTCCGGTGTCAAGTTTTTGCTGATTCCAAAAGTCATTTTAAAGCAATTTATGTTTCATTCTTTAATGATGAGTCAAGGTTTTGGAAATCACTTATCTCTTTAAATTGCCGTTTGCTTGCAAGATAACATCAGTTTCCTTTTAATCAGTTTTTGTTAGAAATGACATAAGTTTACAGAAATGACAATTTAAATATCACTAGAAGGAATTGTTTAGTCTTAGAAAGCTTCCATCAGTTTTTCAGCAAGAAGATTTTAAAATAATTGAATTTGTCTACTTTTTCTACCTCCTTTTTTAAAGATTAGTATTGATGTACATGTAACTTATTTAACTCCATTGCAGAAGATTTGATTTTCAATTTCATGAATAATAATCTTTATGTACCTTAACTTTCATTGAATACATCTAAAATCATGTTACTTCAGCATGTATCTTTGTTCCCTTGCCATCTGAAGTACAAAGAATGTTTCACAAAAACCAAAATGTGCAAAATCAGTTTGGTTAAGATACAAGGAAAAGAAATAAATCACAAGAAATGAAATATGGTTTAATAGATTGATCTTCAGTCTAATAATTTGTTTTCTGCTATCATTTCAGATTTAAAGAAGAGATTCCAGAGAGTTCCAATGAGTCAGACAGTTGAATTACAATCTACGATATCTTTACAATGTTTACCTCCAGAAGGAAAACCTTTACCAGAGGTTGGTACCTTTTTTACTTATCTCTGGTCAGAATTCTTGCAAAATACAATTAGGAATTGATGCATAGTCTGATACATGTTTGTTGGAAGATCTCAAATAGATTATAGATGATCAACTGAGACCAAGTTGATTTATGCCAATGAATAATACGTTGCTCTCAAAACATGGACAGTTAACATTTTTGATTCAATCAATGCAAAAATCGTGGGCATTGTAAACCAATAACCTTACATTGGAATAGCTCAGAGGGTAGCATGTTGGAATGTCGTCTGCTACACCATTAGGTTCTTTAGTTAAGGTAAAAAAAAAAGTTTCTAATGCCACTTAAAGCCTCTCTGAAGTGGACAATGGAGGATCCTTTACTACCAATGACATAACTACAGTTTTATAGATATACCCTAAATGTGATCTCTTGGTTTTATTATTAAAAGAAATTGACTTACATATTTGATCAGTATCAACAAGTTGCATTAATGGCTTCAATTTATTATGAAGTCAAAGTAATTGCTTATGAGTGATGTTTTTACTTAGGACTAGACTTTCAGGCTGGGCATAAAAATGGGACATTGAGATTCCAGCTTTAATTAGAATACATATTTCCTCTATGTTTGTGCACATTAAATCAAAATAATGTGTCAGTTATAATAGAAAGAAAGGGGTGTACTTATTGTACATACAATAATAAGAGAGAAGACGTACTGCATTCAAGATGGCCGCCTCATAAATTCATGCATTCTTTTCATAATATTCCAGTTCATTGATGATACATGGAGTCGTAAATGTGTCATTGTAAATACCTCTACTTTCTGATTTCATTATAGATTAGAATATAGACATAACTTTACTTATTTACTGTAATCCTACCATATGCTGATGTCCATCTTGTTTTGATTCTGACCAGCATAACAAGTCAGACAGGTGAAGATATGCTTCTGATTTGTTCAATGTACATGGTTTCTTAAGAGAAAGTGTTGAATGCAAACTTTTGAAGAAACTTCCTATTGCTGTTACATTTATAAGATTATGAGAGTCTTTTAAATTGAAATAATGCGCAACATCATGTATCAAGAGCACTCATACATCCAGTGTGTTATTTTTAAGAAGAATAAGCATGCTCTATGTAATTTCATTTTCAACAAAAAAATGAGCTATTTAGATTAACGCTATTCAATTGCTGAATGAATATAGATATCTCTTGGTGCATTTTAACCTCTAGGGATTTGTTGAATTAGCTTCACTGAGTTTAGTGGTGTTCACATGATTGTCACTCCTTCATTTCATTTCACATTTGAGTGCTTATAGAAAATGTATTAGTGTCAAAGTGTATTCTGGCTGAAAGCAATCAACTTCTGACCACAATTTCCGTGCAAATTGCCCATTTGTAGGTATAAATTATATATGTAGAGAGTGAGAGGTTTATAATTCCCAGTGTTGTTCACAACAAGGTGTAAATTACCTACACTGTTCATTCAATTATTCTGAGGTAATTGACATTAGAGGACTGGCAGTCTAATCCTAATTTCAATGTCATTATACAGCAAATTGTAGCTGACCTCAGATTAACTCTGATATCTATGAATATTCTAATTATTTTCTCTTTCTTTCGACCTTGATTCATTCAAAAATTTTCTTATCTTCATCTTAGTTTTGATTGATTTGATTTGATTTGATTTAGTGCAATAAACATATATTGGCCTACATGGGGAGGAAAACTGGGTAATTGTAACCAACAGTCAAGAAGTAATGGAAGAAGGTGGGTCAGTGGGGAAGGTAAATGGTTATTTTTGTCCTCTATCCATCCAAAGTCATACATTGACTTCAGTGTATTTTGAAGTGCAGGGAGAAATGTCTAAATTATGGTTGTTGCTAGGCTATTTTGACATCAGGATAATTTTGATGAAACAAAGAGCTACTTTAGTCCCTAATCTAGGCCTATCCCAGATAATTATTGTGGATTTTGAAGTGTAGGGAAAGGCGAGAATCCTGTTAGTAGCTGTTCTAACTTTGACATGAGGATATTTTGCAGAAGCATTTCGACACAATCAGATATTCTAGTCCCCAATATTGGCCTATCCCAGATAATAATTATAATAGCATGTTTTTAATAATTACCAGTATATATCATAAGTATATACTTCCTAGGTAATTATAGTGTACAGATATCAATATGATTCTATGCATGTGGTGGCTTTAAAAAGAATTTAATATGAAAATGTCGTTAACTAGTCTTTATAGCGTTATCTTGTCAAAAAACAAGGCGATTAGAATTTGAAATCAATATTTGAGAAGTGGTATCAGGTGTCCCAGTGTTGACGGTTTGAAGCTTTTGGCTTGATCCTTTTCAAATCTGTTTATTGTTGTCTTATCCTGGCTATAGAAATTGGATATTATTTTTATAGAAGTTGAGAGAGTAGGGTATTAGCATAGATATGTGATTGTTTTTTAGCAAGTCCCTAGCAACCTTTTTTACCTCCATTAATACAAGAGTGTGAAAATTAGATGTAGTATTTGAAAACTATCAAAATGACCTTGTTTCATTGTTGCCAACTATATTTGGTAGGCCCTACTATCATTTCAAATTGCGATATAAATTCCATTTTTTTTCTACACTCCTAAATAGTTCATAGTTAAATTCTAACCTTGTTTCGTTGACATTCATAGTATTTATTTAGAATAATTTCTTTTGATATAAATTTATATCCATGACTTGAATAACACATCAAACAGTTTCATATCTATATGTTGAAATTATTTTAAATCCAGTCTAGATTTCTTTTTATAATTCCTCTTTCATGGTAGATAACTATATAATTCTAAACAAAGGTTATCTGTTTGTGAAACCAAAATATCTTTTGTATAGTCAATTCACCTTGTGCAGTGAGATAGGACTTTTAATTAGAAAAGATTATTAGCTCTTCATATTGCAATTGTAGAAAAAAAATAAGATTTCACCCTTTCAACCCCAACGGCCATATTATTACTTAATTAATATACCCAAGTGGTAATATACCTGAGCTGCAGGTAAAGCGGCTGTTTCCAAGTGAGGTTACATAATGTTAACAGATACGCTTAATGTTATATTACGTGGTGTTCAAGGTATATGACGTTTTATATTAACACTCAGTGTTCAAAAGCGTAAATAAGATGACAAATTACTATAGTAGCAATCATTATGAGATTTAAAATTTTGCTTAGACGAGAGTTAAATTTGGGATAGAAATTCTTGAATACATTTATGCATTCCTGGGACTGTTAAAAATTGAGGTTTACAAGAGTCTAGGCTTTCTGGAGAGTATTGAGTACTTTTTGTGCTTTTCTAAAGAGTATAGAACTTTTTTTCTTCTCTCTTTTTTGAATTTGAGGGCTAGTTTAAACGCAAATGTCACATTTTGTACAGTATTCAAGTGTATACAAACATTGTCAACTTGTCAACAGAGTAAAAATGGCAGCTATACATACATATATCTTGATTACAATCTACAGAGTAAACAACAGTCAGAGCTAGACAACAAATTCTTTCTACTTGTCAATCAATGATGATTAAATTCTCTCAACCAACTCTATTCCCTTCAAATACAATTCCAGTTTGGATGTTTATTTTTATACAGAGATGTCTGCAGACCCTTTTTTCTGCTCAAAGTTTCGTGCTTGTTGCTCTTCATTTTGGTTTGCATTGACACTGCTTGCTTTCTTACATTCTAGCTTTTCCTTGGGGCTGCACTGAGCCATCATTAATTAAATCTGTGCTTAATTATGAACTATTCCTGCCAGATTTTCAGCAGAATTTAATCTTACGCTGGCTCTGCATACTTCAGCTCGTTATAATTATGCTTAAGCTATTGTTTCATAAGAATGTTTCTCCAATGGACAGATTTTCTTTGTGCAGTAACTTGTGGGTGGGGGTGTCACACTCTAGAATACACTCGATAATTCATTTTGCTAGGTGCCAGATTTCAAAATTGCACGATTTATCATCGCACATGTACTTGTCAATAGTGGGTCGGTACCTTTAATGTCAATCATTTGTATTTATTCAGTCTACCCGAAATATTTCAATCTAATTTAAATCTCTAGCCTTTGTTTAATGTTCATGGATATCTTTTAAATTTAATTGCTATTAAAATGCTGTCATTGCATGTAAATTTACTTTTGCGTGAAGCATTTCTAAATGGGCGGCCATCCTTTTCAAAGAAATTAGCATTTGAAATGTTTGTATATGATGCACTAAATACACTTTGTAAATATAGTCTCTTTGAATATAAATGTGCATTCCATATGGTGTTGTGATTTCAAAATTAAAGTTCTAGATACAAGATTTTGATTTATACAGTATACAAGATAGTTTCTGTATCACAATATTGCGTATCCAGAAAAAGGCTGAGAGGGTAGAGCCAAAAATGGCAGATGCCCAAAGGCCCCCAGAAGCCCATGGATTTCAAATGACCATGAATTTTGAGCTTTAAAAGGGCTTACTTTTCACTTCAATATTGACCTTTCACTTCAAAATTGACCTTTCAGAGGCCTGAGAGGGGAGAGAGGGGAAATGGCCCGATAGCCCTACTGCTGTACACTGCTGTTTATTGTCATTATGAAGTTACTGTAGTTTGGAATTATTTTTCAATTATAAAGTGGCTTTAAATAAAAAAAAACACAGCGAAACATGGCATATCATATCACTTTGTCTATCAATGTCAATTATTATTTAATACACATAGAGTATGTACATGTATGTCAGAATCATCATCATTATTTTATCATAATGACAATGGTTGAAGCAAGGCATTCCCTTGTGGGTTTTGTGAGTTTGTAAATGAGTCACACCCTATCTTATAAAAATTGTAACATTTTTAACAATGGCGTTTTAAAGTAAATTAAAATATGATACCCAGCTGGTATGATTATATCATAGCTTGTCAAATTGTTTGATTATTTACTCACTCAACTGTTGATATTTTGATACAAATATTAGGAGATGCCATATTAATTATCTGTCATATTTTCAAAAGTATTTTCTCAGTATTTGATTAAAATTATTGACCAAATGAAAATATGGGCTGAGAAACCAAAGTGTCCAGTATCTCTGGGAGATAAACAATAATTTCGGGTTAAATATATCAGTGGGAAAAACAAATTCATGATTTAGAAAATGGCTCACTTGTGGGAAGAAGAGACTTGCATGTAGATTGAAAGTGGATAACCCACTTCAGATATTTGACCAGTTGAAGGGGTTGATGGTCAAGACCTTGATGTCTTTGGATATCACTGTTTGTAGCATCATCATTTTTCTAAAGCAGACGACACTCCCAACTTGCTACTTGTTGAGCTGTTCCACTGCCACAAAGCTACATTTGATTAACAACAACCTAGATATTCCGAAAAACAATTTTAGAAACATTTCTGAAACAAGTGAAACACAGTGCTGACTTCAGAATTTCAGGAAAAAAAGATATTAAGAGATTGGGGAGATCAAATTAGATCTCTATCATTAATCTAATTGCCACCAGTGACCTAACTTTTTCTAATCAAAACATATCTTGTTTCAGGTTTTTTGGTTAAAAGATGGGAAAATGATCGAAGTTTGGAAAGAAATCAATTTTATTATCTCAAGTGAAGGCAACTTGATTATCAATCAGGCACGTTTAGAAGATACAGGAAATTATACTTGTGGTGCCCAAAATCCTGCAAGTCGACGTTTCAGCGAATCTGCAGTTTTAACAGTATTTGGTAAGTGCATTTATTAATCGTTTGAGTAATAAATAAAGACAGATGGATGAGTAACTGTCACATTTTAAGCCAAGAGGTCACTTTATGCTGCAGACCAATGTTTGATATATAAAATCCTCATTAGGAAAGCTGGATTTAAACTTATTAACATCAGATCAACTTAAGTAAGAGAACTCACTGCACGGAAGTCAAGTTGGGAATATTACAGTATAATGATTCAACTCCATAATTAATTGATAAGACCTCATCTGATGCTGTCAACCCATGTTTTTGGTATAAGCACCTCATCAGGACAGGGTTAAAATACTTTCCAATATTAGAGGCATAGGAGCAATGTGTATGAAAGCTTAAGCTCATGATAGTATAACTGCACCATTAACACTTGCTATTGTCAAACAGTTTTTTGAAGAAAATACTACTAGCATTAAAACATGGAATACTTTTCAACTATCTACAAACATTCTAGGAGAATTCATGTATATAACATATGTATGCTGTTGTCAGCAGATCAATAAAGACCTACAGCAATAATCTAGCTGAAGTGTCCATGGCTTTAAATTCAATTAGAGAGTAATTTCTACCATTGAAAAGACTGACAGGACCATTCTTTGCATCTGCTTCCAGAAAATATGATTTGACATTATATCAGCAGGTATCCATGTTACGAAAAAACAAAGGATTGTGTTGCCATGGAAATCAATTAATTAAAGATTAATAAGAAAAATCTGTTTAAAAGAAAACTGACATTTTTTTCTGTCGAGCCTCAAGGTTTTTCTCCGCATGACGGCCATTTTCTTTTTACTAACTGAATCTGCACAAGTGAGTTACCTTGGGGCGTTTTGATATTGTGATATAATGTAAAATAAAATAAATGAAATAATATCTGAATTGTGAAAAATACTCCATTTTAAATGAAATCTTTAATGTCATTTAAGTTTTGTCAAGAAGTGACAGCTACGACATGTTGTCTCCTTTTACTTGTCAGTTTCAGCTTTTAATAGAATGAAATTTATAGTGCTTCATCTTCGATAAATCTAACCTGGGTAAACTGCTTTTTATATTCAAATTTTGTGTATTTAGGTTGTATATATCTCAATGTGTAGGCGTAGGTGAAAGAGGTAGAAAAAAACCATGAATACGAAAGCACAGGCCAAGGAGAATAGTAGGAATTTTAGATTGTAACATTGCAGTTAAGTAATATTACGAAAGCACAGGCACAGGATAGTAGGGTTAGGGAAACAGCAATATTTCTTAGGTTGGTTGATGCTTATATGAATTCCAACGCACATAAAGGGTTTTGGAGACTGGTGGTTCAGAAGACAACAATTTACTACTGTCATTGATGCAGGAATCACAACAGTAGGTCATTAAACACCATTTCATTGCTTCAATGTGAGTCGAAAAAGGGTTCAGAGCAAATAGCTCACAAAGCACATCTTGGGAAGCATCGAGCCTGACAGAAATTGACAGGATTGAGATTCTAACCATCAAACCTAATTGCATGATGGACTGCAATCCTTTTGAAGGCAATGGTGTAGCCTCACATTAAAAAGAAATATGTCTATTAATTTGCTAAATAAAGATGCGTTTGATTTCATGTCCTCACGATAAGAGAAAGAGTAAAAAAACATACTGTTTCTATTTTAGTTCAACAATATACTTTAATAGGCAAAAATTGAGACATCTTAAAATAAAAAAAACAATTTAAGATCCACTGTTTTTAAAAAAAAAATGTTTTTGTATGGACTTTAAACCTCTGAAGGCTAAATTTGTTCTAATTTTCTTCAACACACAAAAGATTAAAGACAGTGATTGAACTCTTTATGAAAATCTTACTTTTTTAATGAGTCTTGTTCTAATGTTGCCATGGAGACCAAAAGAAACAAATAATGTTCATACAAAAATTACAGTGTAAAAAACGGACATGTAAGTGGCTTATCTGATCAAGAAAGATAAACATGATGTTACTGTTTGCAGATAAAGCTTTGAAGATTTTTGTTAATTTTTTCTAAAGTTCTTTGTTATTATACAATTCTCTCAGTCTACATTGTTATTGTGTATCATTGTGTTTCCTTCTTCCAATTGTTCTCCATGCCAGTGCAATAAGCAATTTTTAAAGGGACAGAGACACCATTTTTGGGGGTTGATTTCAGTCTTGAATATATGTAATTAGTCCTCAGAAGTACGAAATATACATAAGAAATTTACATAATTTGGATAATTCCTTAAAAATATCTGTTAATTTCTTTTCCTATTTCTAAAGATGTCTTTTCTATATATGGCAGTGTCTAAAAAAAAGACAACTCATCTTTTTATCTTTCAAACGCGGATAATTCTGGACACACATGGATTTGAAGGCTCTGTCCCTTTAAGTTAAATATTCTGAATTGTCATATTTTTGCTGTAAGATGACTTGACAAAAGAAAATGTCATATTTTTGCCTCAACTTTTTTTTCACAGTATGATGCCATGCTGCCTGAATGGAAGAACAGTTTGCTCAAATTGGTAGATTTATTTGATGACTTGTCAAAATTTTGTTTTTCTCTGCTGACAGCTGTTATTATATGACATGTCATTTACAGCGACAATTTAACTGACGTCATGACAATGTGCAGTATTATTATCTTCTAAAGAACGTGTAACTGTCATCTTCAACTTCCTATGCTAGTTTTTATTGGTATATATTTAGACTTGTATGACGTTAAATGTTTGCTTCTTGATAAGATTTATCCAAAAATAAATTAAATGTTTAAATGATGATAGAGTAAGGTGACCTAATAACTTATGAAATGGCATAAATGGGATTATTGTAATTATGGATGAATGAATGAATGAATGAATGAATGAATGAATGAAGGAATGAATAAAAAAAACTAATGAATTTCATGTACATGTAAAATTATGAATAATACACTTTTTGCCCAACTAATTGCTTATTTACACATGCTTATGCTTATGCTTATGCAAAGAATAATTTACATAAACACAACCATAATTAAATTTTTGCACTCCAAACTCTTGATGTTTGAAAATGACTATCCTATATTGTTTAATGTATATGTTGTTTTGTATTGTGGAAACCACACCGAAACCCATATTTTATGCTCTATATGTACAATGTCAAAAACAAGCAAATGAAAACAACTTTATAGCCTGTAGGCTAGTCTCTATACTGGTTCTCATAATAACCTAAATGATGACATTTATGTTAATTTATGTAAATTGGGTGGCTTGAAATAGCCTGTAATTAGTTGAACTCTTCTTTTATGAGTCCTTTATTGTGTTTCAGTAAATGGTGCCTGGTCAACTTGGAGTGAATGGACCGATTGCTCAGCTAAGTGTGGTAAAGGTACTCAAAGAAGAACTCGTACATGCACCAACCCTGCCCCTTTAAATGGTGGCAAATCATGTACAGGAGAAGCTGTGAATCGTATAGCATGTACATCATTATGTTCAGGTATATATCGCGATTTCTCAAAAACATAGCTTGTACTCTTTTCCCACATTAATATCATCTGCACAGTTACATTTAATCATCAGCAACGTTATTTCATTATTGTCCTCTATGGTATCAATTTCTGATTGGCCCATTAAACTTCATTATCACACTTCTAATGGCCGTCTAATTTATTTCAAATGTCATCCAAACTGAACTCAGAATATTGCTCTGTCAATTGTATACATATATTAAGTCATTCAAAAAGAATTTCTAATTATTAACCCCTTAAACCCCCAGCTGATCAATCTAATTAACCCTACGTAGACAGCAATTGATCTTTCATTTATGGATTTGTACCCGAAAAACAGAGGTTGAAGTAAGCACTTATTAATTTGAGTATAATTTGTACGGCCCTCCCAACTAGTCAGAAATAACAAGATAAGTAGTCAAGTGATAGCATTTGATTTATACGGGAGGTTAAAAAGATAATATGATTTAAGGTAGTCAGCTGATGTTTCTATAACTTTTAAGGAAGGGAAAGATTTTTATTAAGATGTACCTAGAGAAAAACACAAATTTTAATTATGAATATCTATTCATCGTGCCATGTATTCGATTTTTTCAACTTAAAAAAAGGTCCAATGTTGTTTCAGAACATCAAATACAATGATTCATTTTTTGACTCAAGTTTTTGATGAATCATATTATAACAATTATGATGGATTCATCTTTAAAAGTTGTTATATTGTATATCCACTTCAGTGATCCTTTTTAAGGTATTTGCTAGCAAGACTTTATGACTGTACATCCTGGTTTGTTATCCTTAAAATCCATGCAGTTTTCATGCCATTACAATTAACCTAGCTTTCTGAAATTTTTGGCACTGAAAATTTTAAAGAATGCATTTCAATTTGCACAATTATAAAATTTCACTTAAATTAGCAGATATATAAATTTGAATTCTGTGTTATAAATACCATGAGTAAAATTCTCTATATCAAACTATTTATACCGAAACATGTTTCTAAATTGACTTGACTTGATTAATGAATAATAGAAACACTGAGCTATTATCTGTTATTGTTGTTCTGTCTTCCTGCAAATTATCTAGATAAACGTTTCTGGTCATTTCATGCCTTTCTGGTAATTGATAAACAGCTTAAAAGAAAAATGTAAGAAATTGTTGACTGGAGGATATGGTGCGGCATTAAGACGATTTAGAAAGGTTTAGAAAATGAAGCGTTAAAGAGCAGTTGAAGTGGTTAAACGCCTTCAATCCCGTCTAGACAGGAAATTCAGTTGGTGCCTTTATCAATATAAGTAATTCCTTCATAATTAGATTAACATAGTTTCATCATGTACAAAGTCTTTAATAATTTCATCAAAACAAGAATCAACCTCTTTTTCCCTTTCCAATTTTCAGCTAGGTTCAATAAGGTTTGAAACAAACATGGCCGTCTGGCAAAAAACTAAATTCAGCAGCAAATTTTAATTTACTGCTTGACTTGAAGCCAGCTTTTTTCTATCTGCTGCATATTAAATAATTAAATTTTACGAAGCTATAAATTACAAACAACATACTTTCTCTTTTAAAACAGACTAAAAATAAATTTTCTATTTTCTCATTTTAATTATTGGCATATGAATTTAGAAAAAAAAAAATTAATTTCAAATTCACAAACTTGTGCAAGACAGATTTTGTAAACAACAGAACATGAACGCACAAATTTTAAAGATAAAAAATAGCAAAAAGTCTGAGTTCAGTCAGTGTGACCCAATTTAAAAAATCTTCTCCAAAGTTTCATGCACATTTTATTGAAATCAGAAATTGATTCCATAAATCTAAAGGTATCCAAAGGTAATGCAATTTGTGTGCCTACCAAAACATTTATTTGAAAATTTTGTATTTAGGCTTAAAATTATCAACACTAGTCCCTTACTCAAAGGATGTGAGAGTTCTCTGCCCTTTATAAAGTCCTATGGACAAGCAAGCCAATTTTTCATCAGTACATCACATTTTGCAATATCTTAATCATGTATCATCTTCACCATCCAATGAATTCTTAACATCTCCCTTTTAATTTTTCTTTTGCAAACATAGATGGGAAAACAGGTAAGCAAGCGTCATATTTTCAGAAGCCTTTTAGCATATTAGACCCTTCATATAGTCATACAGAGACATTCCTTCATCTAAACATCTTTCCTTTAAATATATTGTACTATGTTGTTTTGATATAGTACAATTTGGTGCTGTATTTCTTCATCCTTTTGACTTTCTGGGCTTTTTGAAGTTCTTTACAAATTAGTTGTATCCACTTCATTTGCGTTTCACAGCCATGATTACTTCGGCTACATGTACTTATGAATCTCTATTAGAAGGATATTCTTTTGAACTTTAAAAGTACCAGAAAGTTTGAGGAAAGGGATCCTTTATTTTTTAAATAAGGGTTGGATACAATTACAAACTCACAAATTTCAACATAACATTGGGCATTATGAAACATCATTTAAAAAACATAACAAAAATGTTGAATTTTATTAGGGGAGTGGAGCCCACACCAGGCCGGCCATCTGTTGGAAGCACAGGCATCAGGATTGGCGTTTACAGTCTTTGATATTGTATCCAACTCTAATGTAGACGTAATATATTTGTCACAGTATCAGTATAGTCGACTGTTATATTATATAGCACTTTATTCTGCATGATATATACAGGAGAATGTAGTCAGATTCTCTATCAGATATTGTGACATTTTTTTAGATCTTATTTCTTGTAGAAAGACACTTGCATTTTATTGCTTCATTATATTTTTTTTTTTACGTTTTTTGATATATTTTGATTTCATGTTTTCATTCTCTCTTAGTTTTTTCACTTTTGTCTTCTTTTGCTCAGCCTCTTACCAACAGAAATGCATTTTGCATACAAGTATGTTAGAAACAGAAATGAAATTTGAACCATTTCCTTATTTGGTATTGTCAGAACCCAAACCATTTGGTAGAAAAAAATGACGAAAAAAAAATCAAACTGATGAAATTAAAGCATGAATTCAAAATAGTTAGAATTTTCATTTTGGTCACACATCCTATCTTTCATGCCTCCATTTTGTAGTGGATGGTCTTTGGTCCCCTTGGTCATCCTGGTCAACGTGCAGTCCAGATTGTATACATCATCGCCGTAGGTCATGTGAAAATCCAGCTCCAGCCAATGGCGGAGAATATTGCCTCGGAAATGACTTAGCATCTGCCAACTGTACAGGTGGCATGTGCAGAGGTACTTATCTTTTAATTTTATTTCATTTATAAAGTTGGCATTTTGTATGCAAATTATTTCTTTTGCACTTTATATTTAGTTCTGCACTTCTGACTTCTGATTCAAAAATTATCTCTCTCTCTCTATCTATGTCTTTCTGTTATAAAAGCTATATAATCTTGATGAGGGATTCCTTTGTAATCTATTTATCTTGTGTCTGGAAGTTGAGAGAGAGCAAGTCAGAACAAATATGATGGATTAACTTAGTGGCAGACTAATTAAACCAGGTTCCGTTATCCTGGAACCAAATCTTAAAGTTTTCGCAAGTCGTACAGACTTAATCTTATTATAAAAAAGAAATAATTGTAACTAATCAATTCAGTCATTAATCTTGTTCAAATGAAAAACAAATTGAATATTACTAATTGTTTTTTCGTTCATACTACTTTTTTTCAATTTTATTACAGTGTTCATACATTACAATTTAATATAAGACATTAACAGTTTCTGTGTTCATACTTGTTTTTTGAAAATCGAATATTCATTACATATTGTTCACACATACAAATACTTAGCTCGAAAGTATGTAATGCATTATTTTACGCAACAGTGTTCATAATACAATGTTCATACTTTCATCTAAAGTATAGGACATTGTTTTTTCTAACAGTTTCTGTGTTCATAATATTATATTTTTTATCTAAATGTTCATATATTGTTCATCTAAAGTATAGGGCATTGCTTCACCATCTTGTTTTTTCTTAATAACAGATGACAGTGTTATGTCGCCATACGATAACAGTTTAAAAATACTTTTGATAAGTCAGCATTTATATTGTTTAAAATGACATTTATCTGTTATAACTGATAAGATAATATAAGGATATGTCACAAGAAAATAGCAAAGTAAGACATATAACTGCTAGTTTTCTAAAAGAGCTTGTCAAATAAGACAGAAAACAGAAACGTACAAATTAGGATGTTTATATCTTAGATATCAATCAGAATTTCAATTCTAGACAAAACTTTGAACACTTATCTTAGAATCAAATTTTGGCAACACATACTTTTGACCTACATAAAAATCTGGCAACACCCAAGGATGAAAGAGAGAGGTCAATACTTTTGGTGCTTGAAAATTAACAAAAATTGATGCAACAGTATTATAGAAAATTGAACTGGTGCAATTGATTAAATGTTAAGATTTTGAAATTAAAAGCTGTGATGCAAATGTCTGCTAGGTGATAAACAAAGGTCAAGGTCATTCAAAGCATTAAGGGTAACAATTAGGGTTTCCCATCCCATCCTGGCAGGCCTATCTTATGTCTAAAGTTTGAGGCTAATACTAAAACACCTTCCAACCAATTATCAACTCACTCAGCGAAAAAAAAAAAAAATCTTCATTTAGTTCCTCTTTCCACACGAAAATGTACTTTTTCATCAAGAAGAAGAGACTTTTTCAATTATTCAGTGAATCCATGAAAATGAAAATTAGTAACAGGAATAGTAACAGTATACCACAGCATTACATTTCATCAAGTTAGGCTTCTTTCCATTATGTTTAACACTGATAGTTAATTATTACTGATAAAAACAAGATGTAAACAAATCTTAGGCTTAATTTTAAGACTTCACATTGAATTCATTTATAAAAAAAAAATCTCGTAAAAATGTTCTACTTACTTTGAAGTCAATTAATTGATGAACAAATTGAATTATATATTTTAATATTGAATATGGAAAGCAATGTTATTAAGGAAAAGCGAAGAGAAAAGCGTAAAATACATACAAAATATTTAAGTACAGACTTCAAACTAAAAATTTAGCTATTTTAATATTGAAAACAAAATCTAAGATTTCTATCACAGTAATGTTTAAGACGCGATCCAATCAAACCAAAGTATTATATTTCTTAAATAATTAATACTAATGCATCAACAAAAAAACTAGTAGAAAATGACTCATTGAATTAAGACATGGCTTAGTTAATTATTTCTGATGTGTGATTCAAACATTTTTACACCCATATCTTGATATTGTCGAGACTGCATGCAATCTTGTATACTAGGTGTGAAATGATACTCAGAATGCATTAATTTAATGCCAAAAAACTTGATCGAAATTATCAAGTGATTATTTTTTTCCGTCAAAATGAATCTCCTGAGATGTACTGGCATGCCTCAAGGCTGTCTCAGTGACATTTTAGTCTTTTACGGTACTAATTAGCATTGGCACCCTGACACTAGTGTAACAGTTAAAATAGGGGTTGTGATTGAAAAATTAGTCATTATTAGTATTCCTGTTGTTATTTCCAGGAATAAATAAGGGTGCCTGGGATTTGTCTAATTATTTCAAAACAATTGTCTGAGAGACACCATTTAACTTAGGATTGACAGATGGTAAAAATGAAAGAATTAAAGAACAATAAGCATTCTTAAAAATCAATGAATGAATGAATGAATTAATGCAAAAGATGAAAAATAAACCAAATGAATAATGTAAATTGACAAAATTGATAGAAAAAATAAATGAATAAAATAAAAATGTTTCAGATAAAAGAAATAGTTCAAGATCAGTATCGCAGACAATATCTCCCACTATACAACAGGGTAAGACATGTACACCTTTAGCCCAAATTACCAGAATTATTCACCTATAGCTAAAATTACCATAACCTGTCGTCAAAATTACCATTACCATTACCCGTAGTCATAATTAGTTACCTTTAGTCAAATTACTACTGACAATTATCTGTAGCTAGCCAAATTTCCATAGACAATTACCTGTAGCCAAATTTCCATAGACAATTACTTGTAGCCAAATTTCCATAGACAATTACCTGTAGCCAAAATTACCATAGTGAGTTACCTATAGTCAAATTTCCATAGACAATTACCTGTAGCCAAAATTACCACAGTGAGTTACCTGTAGTCAATATAACCAAAGACCATCACATGTAGTCACTATTACTTGTAACCACAATTACTACAAAATTACTTGTAGCCACAATTACCATGGCATGAACCTGCAGCTAAATTTACCAGAGACAATTACTTGTGGCTATGATTACTCCTCTAGTCAAATAGAACCTTTAAAATATTGCCTGTAGTCATCGCATTAAAAAAAAACTTTCCAAATAATTTTACATCCCATTCATTTCCTTCCTCTAGATTAAAGAAAAATAGTTTAGAATTTACTTTTAGAAACAGGCAACTTTTAAGTGTAGTCTTTGAAGGAAGTCGGCATTTAAAACTAATGTAGAAAGAAAAAACAATCAAATTTGCACTGACTAACTTCCTGCTAAGTGCATGATCTCCTCAAACCATTTAGTGAATCAAATTAGAACTCTAGAATCCTAAATATCAACAAATTAAACATATTGTTTTTGGTGATTCTTTTGGTGTGCTGCTTCTGCATGGGTGGCCATTTATTTTAAAGTCATTTTTAAGCAAGTTTTTAGATTCGCATCCTCTGAACAAATCTGACAGCCCTTGGTTAGAATTCAAAATATTTTTTTACAAAATATATATTATGGCCAATCAAAAATGAAAAATGTGTTTAGTACCAAAATTGGTCGTAAAAAAGATTCCAGTAAAAAATTCAAAATAATCAAAAGCAATTCTTAGAGATTAATTTCCTAGCCTCCAAACCAAAACTAGATTAATAACCTCTCTTAACGGCATGATTAAACTAATCTAGAATTACTTCCCCTTGTCAGGGTTTGACTTCTGCAATAACATAGTTAATAAATTGATTTCTGGAATATTTATCTAGTAATTATTAAAGATTTATTACACATTTACATATCTTAATGATTTCTCTACCACTGATAATTGGTTTCATTGAAAACTATTACCTTGATTTATACTAGCAAACCATTCTTTCGTCTTATTTCAGTTTTTACAATGTCTTGTCATTTATTTACCGTTTCAGATAGTACTTTAAATCTTATTGTCGAAACTTCTCAAGGTCAGTTATAGGATATTCAACGTAATTGTTGCTGTTGGAACGTTTCATCTTCACAATGTCAAGATTTCAAAATTTAATAACAATTCTGATGAAATCTGAAATTAAATGATGAATTTTTAACATTTATTGCTTGACTTTATAATGTCAAATTCTTAATTTCATTGTTGACATTTTCAAAAGAGTTTTTTTCTTGTAAGCATTGTGATGCCTAAAGTTTGACTTGACATTATGAAGTTTGGAACCATTTGCTCCATAATCTAAGATTTATAGTGTTATATTTAAACTGCAGTAACAGTAATTTGGCAGGCATGTTCACCCATATTGTTACATTAACTAATTACATATAGCAGAATAGGTTTTAAAAGAAAGAAAGGTGTTGAGAAATGTGTTAGTTATATTAACTCTAGGGCACCTCTAGGTCACAGAGGTTTATATCATCATTTACCATTGCATGTTTTGCTGTTTGTTACGGGCTGAAGGTTAATGCTTTTTTGTACTGAGAATGTGATATACATGTAGTTTCAATTTGAAATATGCACCTCCATGTTAGAAACCATGCTTTTACATACTTAAATACAATTTACATGTCTGCACCAACTTTCAAGAGTAGTATATCTAAGGGCAAATATTTAAATAATATTTTATCAGATATGTATATCAAAGAAGAAATCATGACCTCAAGAAAGGGTCCTCATTTGCATATTGATATGTGTTTTATCAATGCAGTAAGAAACGCTCAAATATCTGATACGAGTTTGTGTGCTTCTGCATCCCTTCAGTGAGTCCACTTGACAAAGGATGATTGTAAAATATTTTTAAAAAAATCTCTCACTGGTTTATCCTCTCAGTGTATCAAGAGTTTTATTAAGGATATGCTCAATATTGAAAAAAATCAGTTAATTTGCTTCATTTACTCAAAATATCAAACTGTAGTAGAAATACTACAAAAAAACAGCTGTTGGTTGTCTCTGACACAGCAGTTTATATTGCCCTAGCTCTTACCGATCAATACATCAATATGAGATATTGCTATTATTATATAGATATTTGAT